GTTGATAAAATATATATTAAATTATATTTTTTATATAGTAATAATATTATTAAAATTAATATTTAATATTTTATAAAAAAATTAACAATTTTTTTTAATTTCGCAGACAAATTTGCCTGCTAGACAATCTAAGAGATAATATAATTTATATTATATAGTGGTATCCCACTTGCCCTAGATTATAGTACCACCATATAATATAATTTATATTATATAGTGGTATCCTACTTGCTCTAGATTATAGTACCACCATATAATATAATTTATATTATATAGTGGTATCCCACTTGCCCTAGATTATAGTACCACCATATAATTTAATTTATATTATATAGTGGTATCCTACTTGCCCTAGATTATAGTATCACTATATAATATAATTTATATTATATAGTGATATCCCACTTGCCCTAAATTATAGTACCACCATATAATATAATTTATATTATATAGTGGTATCCTACTTGCCCTAGATTATAGTACCACCATATAATATAATTTATATTATATAGTGGTATCCCACTTGCCCTAGATTATAGTATCACCATATAATCTAAATAACACTATATAATCTGAATATCACTATACAATCTGAATACCACTATATAATCTGAGTACCACTCTATAATCTAGCTATCACCATATGAGGCCTTTACAATAGAAAGGGGGAAACTGCCAAAAAATTAAAAAATGAGTTAATGCTAAATTTGAACATATTTCAGCCTAAAAATCATATTTGACATATAAAGTAAAATTGATTTTTTCTGGCAGTTTCCCTCCTTTCTATTGCAAAGACCCTATATAATCTAAATAATATAATCTAGATACCACCATATAATCTAAATAATATAATTTAAATACCACTATATAATCTAGTTGTTTTCATACATCAGGTATCTATTTTATACTCTAGATATTCCTTTAAACTCTTCCTGATATTCATATTATTTACCACTATATAATCTAACTACTATCCACCATTTAATCTAACTATCACCATATAATCTAAATATCACTATCTTCTAATCCGTTTACAGGTTAAATTTTATATTGTCAGTACTGGCTTTCCAGTCTTCTTTGAATACCTAGTTCTTTAGTGAGGATGCTGACACTCTGTGTCAGTTTAGTTACCAGTTCTGTATTAAGAATATACGCCTATTTGGTTACCTTTCAAGATTACTGAAATAGTGTAAAAAAAAGGTGACAGGTGGCATAGTAAATTCATGATTAATTTCGGCCAACAGTATGCCATAATTTTGGCCAATTTTTTGAGCATGTGATTCGGGAATCCAGCTTGGCGTCATGATAGTGACCTAATAGTGTCCTGAAACTATCATGGAACTGGTGAGGAACTAGCAGGGAGCTAGAGAGGTTCTATTAGTTCGCCAGTTTTATGCTAGCTTGAGTGTCAAGTTATTATATCTAAAGATTTGGACGAATTTATAGAATAGTGCTGGTCAAAATTAAGTAAATTTATACTGCGACTACTGTGTCTTCAGTTTCTGACACTTCCCTGTCACCTTCTCACAACTTTCTCATTACTTTTGAGAGATGTTTGCTGGATGTTGTAAGCACTTCCAAAGTCCAATCATGGTTTAAACTGGATCAAAGCAATAAGAATGCTATTTTTTTGAGCGTCACAAGTGTCACAAGTTCTATATACTAACCTAAGACGCAACCTGTGACATATTCGTTATACTTCTTAAGATTATTAGACTATTTCATTTCTTTTCTGATTACTGTCATAAGTTTATAAGTAAAAGAGTAATAAAATCTAGGAAAAAAACTGAAATTTTTCTATGGTATTCTAATGGTGTATATGTATCGTAATATTAGTGTATGTATGATATACGTGATGTATATATGCTTTAAAAAATAAAAAAAGTTAAGAGACTCAGATTTTTCCTGTGACGTTTGTAATACCTGTGCTACCTTTCAAGAAAACTTTCTTTTGCTCTATAATTTCTAAAGAGCCTATCGTCTACGTCATAGGTTCTATCACAAGTTTTTTTCTTGTAACACTAGTGGCAAGTTGTATTATTTTGCATTGCTTCTATTTTCATCTATTTACCTACCACTTCCTGCATTGAAGCCAAATCAGCCAGCTTTTTCTGATGGTATTGTTCCCTTTTACAGTGCTTTCTAGCATGAATATCATAAAATCCATATCCGTCATAAGTTAATTTATTGCATCCATATTCATTACAAGGTATCTGAGAAGGAAAATTATGATGAATATAACATCCTTTCAGATAATAGCATCCCCAATTGCAAATCTCACCACTTCTGTGAAAATAAGTATATCGATAAAATACTATTTTTAATAACTATGGATAGTTAGTTTATGTGTCAGTTTATATATTTCAGAATTAATTTTCATTTTAAACTTTTTTTTCCCAGAATATATATTTTCTCTCGAACTGTATATTTGTGATATAATATCATGACCCAATCTGAGCTTTTAGAGTTCCTCGACGCCCTCACCCTTTTTCATCCAGAGGCTGAAAAAGATAAAATGGAAGCCCAAGTAATTCGCTATTCCAGTGAAAACTACTTAAATGATATTCTAACTCGAAATGATATAGTTGCAGAAAATAATGAGGGATTAACCGCAATTCTTGATGATGCTCTATCCAATCATCAAGAAATTCCATTTATGGCCATTGATAATGAAAGGTCATTAGAAAAAATAAATGGAAAGTACCGCTATATATTACGTCTCTACAGCTCTCTTATTAATGGCCAAAGGGCAATGGTAACACATTCTGATATTCCTGTATTCTTTGACATTCTTGTACCAGACGGGGAGTGTGCAGATGAATGTGAAACAAAAGTAAGAGATATTCTCTCCGGTAGTAAGGTGAAGACAATAAAAATAGAGCATATTAAAGCTTTTCCTTTTCACAATTAATATACAGAAAAAAAGACATATTTACGAATTTATACAAGTAGCACTGGTAAAAGAAAGACAGCCATGAAAGCCATTCAAGATAATAATTATGAAACTGCATCAGATAACCTGTACTCATTCCACCATAAAGTAGCAAGAGAGAATCGAATTCAACTTTTCGGGTGATCTATGCTAAGCAAATATATATATAAGAAAGGAATTGATCCTCTCTGCCTACACGTTTTCTATACTTCTAAAAATGATTTTTGGCTAGTGAAAGATCTTACAATAATAAGTGACTGATTCCCTATTAAGGGATCATACTCTTGTCTTCACATGGGATATAGAGACACAATCACAAGAGTTGGGTGAATTTGCCAAAGTTCTCGATCTGAATCAAAATGTTTTTATGATTTGCATAACATTACATTGGAAAGATGACCCAAAACCGCTAAAGTAAATATGTCTTGTCAATATTGAGACAGAACCAGATCTGCGATGGACCACAATTATATGTAGAAACCAAGAAAATCTGCTAAAAGCATTCACTCTCTGCTGGCGAGCATTTGTCACAGACATCCAAGTTGGGTTTAACGATTCAGACTATGATTGACCTTTTATTATGAAGAAAGCCTATCATCTCAACATACTCGAATAGATGTGGGAGCGAATGACAGGAAAGTTTGAAACAAAGGATGAAATCCTAAAGTAGAAATATCGTGAAAAAATAGGAGCGAAATCTGAAAATATTTTCAAGAAAAAGAATACTGTTAAGGCTCCTGAGGAAGGGGAGGAGGATCTAGAAGAGAATGAATATATGGGTGGTCCAATTAAGATCAAAATTAGTGCAGAAGATGATTTTACTTCTAGCTTTCTTAAACTGCCAGGTTGCGTACTGATTGATGTCAGAGTATGCCTCAAAAAACGTTTTCCCATTCTGAAGTCAAAAAGGAAGGCTCACTTAAATTCTTCTTACAAAAATGTGATCTTAACAGTAATGCCGATATGCCATACGATAAAATGTGAAAAATATATTCAGAGGCAAAAAAAGCCCCTCCTCGTCAATTGCAAGAAATATGCGTGAAGTATCACATTACTGTATTATAGACGCACTATGCTGTCAAGACCTTTTGGTAAACCAAAGTATAATAAATGATTATAGAGAAATTGCCTCAATAGCTTATGTTTCTCTTTTTGACGTACACTATCGCGCAAATAGAATGAAAGTACAAAACCTTCTCAGCGCATATGCTGTCAAACGGGATATGGTAATTAATACAAGGTTTTCTGAAAACATAGAGAAACTGAAATATCCTAGTGCATACGTATTCTCGCCTAAAAAAGGAATTTAATTGAGAAGGCCTGTAACGGAATTGGATTTTGCTTCACTATATCCTAGCATTATCATGGTATATAATCTCTCTCCAGAAAAATTTATATTTGATCCAAAGGATGCCGATATTGCGCAAAATAATGAAAATAACTTATATAAGATTGAGTTTTCATTTAATAAACATATTGTCCAAGCTTGTTGCATCTGCCATGATAGCCAAATGGAAAAAAAAGGCCTATATCTGGGCTTATTAGAGGATTTATTTAATAAGAGGCTGAAGCTTAAAGCACGTCTAGCTCCACTAGGAAAGAAAAAGCAACATCTTGGGAAGATGATAAGTTTAGCTAAAGAAAGAGGCAAAAGGATTCCAGAAAGCTTAAATTTAGAATACTCATCCATATGCTTCGATTACGATTATTGGGATTTAAATCAAAAAGCTTTAAAGCTATATATGAATACTTTTTATGAGGAAGCAGGAAACTCAAAATCTCCAATCTTTCTTCACGAATTAGCCTATGAGATTATTATAGCAGGAAAAACAACCTTAATTTTGTTGCCGAATTCATATCAAAGAAAGGGTTTGGGATAAAATATGGGGATACTGATTCTTGGTATCTTACCTGTCCAGATAGATATTATGAAAAATGTGATGAAACCTTATCCAGGAAAGAACTTTCTAAAGAAGCATACTGAACCGAAATTGACAAAATTACTATGAATGTGATGAAAAAGTTATGTGATCAAGTAAACGCTTATCTTAAGATAAAAAGTGGGACATCTTATCTAAAGATAGCATACGAAGAAGTATTATTTCCCATCTACTTTAATGGTAAAAAGAAGTACTTTAGGGTTGGGCATGAAGATGTAGTAAACTTTAAGCCAAAAAAACTTTTCATGAAAGGGATAGAAACTGTAAAACAAAATAATTTCCAGCTTCTCAAATTCATTGGAGAGAAGATTATGAGAGAAGCTATGGATATAAATAATAGACGCTCAATTCACAAAATTGTTGAATATACTCTTAAAGAAGCTCGGAATAAGGAATGGGATTTTAATGAATTTATCGTAATAGCAATAATTGCTTTATGAGACGTATGAGAAGAAAAATGAGAGGATTCCCGATCCTGGTGAACGCTTTAGCTATGTTGTTATAAAAGGCTCACATCTCTATAATAAAGAGGTAGAAAGGAGCCACATAGAGTTGGCAATTTTATGGAGTATGCGGATATCGCAAAAGAGCAAAACATGGAAATAGATATCAATTATTACTTAGGAACAATAATAGCAATATGCGCACGCTTTATTAATGAAGATGATAGTTATCAACCGCTTCCATCAGATAGAATAATGCAAATTAAGGATTCAGATAAAAGAGAAAAACAGATTGATATCTATTCCCAGAAAAAAGCAAAAAACTACCTTGAAAAATATATAAAAAACTTACGATAGACTTTCTAGGTTCTCTTAGCGGGATATGACAATTTTAGCTAAGAAACTTAGTCTTAAGGCACTTCATATAATATTATTTATATATTTTTTTTCGTGCAATAATACTGATTAACTTCAATTCCTATATTCGATCTTCCGGCCTCTGATCATATAGCCCAACCTCAGAAATTTCCAGAGATGACAAAAAATAGTTCCAATTAGAAAAATACTCAGTATTACTTTTTTTCCATAAATTCCATATTTTTTTAATAATGATTCATATAATTACAAGAAGTAGTAAAGTAAGTATGATATATGTTATCAATGGTGACATCAAGGGACTTGCAACAACAGGAATAGCTGATGCAATCCCAGAGGGATTCGCTAGAGATATTACTTGGGCTAGTGACAATACTTCTGCATCACCTAATTGTTTTGCAATCCCTTCTCTCGAAATATACTTTTCGGAATGTGCTGGTCAACTAAGAATGGATTGATTGAGTAGGGTATCTGTTTGGCTTCTTGAAACCATCTTATCATAGGGTAATAGCTCTTGCAAAACCTCTAATATATTTTTTCTGACAAAACTTTTATCAAGTTCCATAACTTTATCTTCAAGACTTCGCTTATAGACAAGAGGACTTAAATTGTTACTAACCCAACCTGGTAGCTTTTGTGATGAATCATTTATAGGTGGAAATGGAAGGTTAGAGATCTACTATTTCCTTATCTTTCTTTGAGATTATCTCTTGAAAACAAGAATTTTCCTACATTAAATTTAATCGTGCTGAAGACAAAGCATCTATTTCCCAACTGGTTATCATATGTATTACATCTATCCCTTTTCATACATTCTATTTCATGTTTTTTTGAATTAAGATCCCATTCGTTCGCTCCAATTTAAGCTCTTTATTCTTCAACATACCTTCTAATTCACGTATTTTAGCTTTAAGAGAAAGAATCATAGTTTTGTCATGAGATGAAGCTTTCTGTGCCAAAGTTACCTCTCTCTTTAGTGTTTTAATATTTGATTTGAGAGATTTGATTTCGGTAGTATATTTGGCTTCAAGCTCACGTTGACTCTCAGAATGAGACTTCTGTTCAGAAATAAGTTAGAATCTAACCTTAGCACTGGACGTATTTAACTGACTAATCTTATTACCAATATCAGCATAGCTTTGCTGAAACTCCTTTTCCTGCTCAGTGTACTTATCTACTAACTTTCTATTGAGATCCCTAAGTTCAGCCTTAGAGCTAAGAGTAGAATATAATTTCTCTTCGAGCTCTTGCTTATATGGGTGGTATGCTATTAAAATTGAGGTACAGATCATATGATTTACTATGTCTTGTATCTCAATTTTAATAGCATACCATCTATATGCAATACCAAGCTGACGTGATCCCCCAGGATCCGTCTAGTTATAGAGAGAACATCATTTTTTTTATTGATATCTCCCAAAGTGTATATATTGTTCATAGCCTTTTATTGGCTTAATGCTTAATGCTTAAAAATAAAAATATTTATTGAGATGAAGAAATCGAAAGCATATATGATTTATATGCTGAACTCCCTAGCAAATGATGACCTCCAGTCAATGTAATTCTGATATTGTGCATATCACTGGTACTCCTAATACTTTCGATACTCCTGATATATCGTGTAATACTGTTATTTCAGATAGTATTGATATTTATGTGTTTTTTTTATTAATACCGTGGATAGTCCCTATAGAATGAAAAGAACTAGTCCTTCCAATACTTCGCATAATACTGGTTCTCTGTATAGTTTTGATTGAACGCATAGTATACATAATACACATAGTCTACATAGTATTAATATTATTTGTACGCATTTTTTATTAATAAAAATCTGATAGACTATCAATATAATTAACCCATCACTCAGAAGATATATGCGTTCTGATGCTACAAAATTATCTTCTGCAGATTACAAAGACATCATGCAATACTGAGATATGAAATCCAAGCCTCTAGAAGTATTAAGAAAGAAATTTCATATATCAACTTCTTATTTATATCTGATTTGAAGAAGGCGGGAAGTAGGTATAGTTGAATGGAACTATTCGGCAGTTCCACTTTCTTATTCAAGTATAAATGCAATAGATAAACAGGACATACCAGAGACCAGCACATTACTGGACAACATGATCCAAGATATTTCATTAGAATGTAATACTGCTTCTAGTAGTAAGAAAAAAAAGACCGTAGGGACTGGAGGGAAGAAACCCAGATCTAAGTCTGTTACAATCTCTGAATCATCTACCATTCAAACTAAGCCAACCCTAGGAAACTCAGTTGAAGTCACTCAGGGTAAAGGATTATATGGAGAAGATTTAAGAGCATTTTATGAGAAGGAAGTCAAGGAAGATGAAAAAAGCAAAGCAGAGACAGATTGCTTATTGGCTACTACCTAATAGCTCATTATAACGAATCTGCAATTTTCTACATGCGTCATTGAGTTCCGCTTTAGACTTGAGAGAATTATACAACATTTTTTCAAGTTCTTCATAACTTTTTTTTAATACATCATCATCCTCACTTAAGTCCTGCAAATCTTGAGAAACTTTGTCCGGATCTGGTAGATCACTACATTCAGGAGTAATGTTTGCACAATTCACCTTGAGCTTGTTCTTAACTTTATGCATAGTGACTGTGATAATATAATCCTTTTCATTAAGAGGAATCTTTAGCTTATTGGTCTTCCAATCCATCGAGCAATTGTATTTCTTTAAAAGTTGGTTGGAAAATATTAGTGTCAGCTTGTGATATTTTACAACAATAAAATCTTCATGGATAGTATAACTTGGCGCTAGAGTAACAGGCAAATTGCGAACAACTCCAACAGATTCAACTGAAACAGTGGCAATACTACTAAAATCATGTGTTTTAGATTTATCAATTTTAACCCTACACGTATAATGATATTTTCTGTTATAATGGGAGGTTCGGCCCTAGAGTCTACTATCATAGCTGAAATCTTTAAGCGCTTAATTTTGCACCTTATGGTCATAACACTTATTTTTGGCTCCTTTTTCTGAACGAAATAAATTTTCATAGGATTGTCTAAGGACTTCTCCTCTAGACTAGACTTATTCGTAGTTGAATCTTTAGAAGCTGAAGGGGTAATACTTTGAAACATTATCTGTTTGGATATAATGGGATCAGAATCTTTGGAAAAATGCTCAGGAAAAATTAATTTAAGTTCACTTTGAAGGACTTTACAAATAGTTTCCTCCAGTAGAACTTCTCTCAGCTTGGTGATAGACATCTCTTTAGAGGATGATTTCTTGGATTCACCCCCCTTCTTTACTTTTTTTGACTTAGTTATATGAATATTAAGATCGTCATCAGAATCAGAAGAATCAGAAGAACTTGTATCAGAATCAGAACTATCACTAGATAAGGCATTAGAAGAATCTGAATCTAAATCTGAATCTTCAGTAGCGAGATTAACCCTACCTTTCTTTGACTTCTTGCTTTTCTTTTTCTTCTTTCGAAGGCATTTGCAAGAATTATATTCAGATTTACCACACTTGGAGCATTTATGTCCTGATGATTTCTTAACAGCACGCTTAACATAATTTATAACGCTATTTAATGTTAAGCCTGCTATACTATCTGTAATATCATTCATAGGATCATAGTCATAATCATCGCCAGGAGCTATATTGCCTTTCTCTCTTATTAAATCACCCCAAAAATGTCTAATAATAAGGTCTTCTCCTCTTTTATTGGTTGATTTTTTACTATTATCTAGAGTTTTAGTCACTCAAGACATAGTTTCTTGAAAGGATTTAGCTATAGCTTGTAAATCAGCCTTAGTAATATTTTCTTGACCAGAAGAAGGCGCTGGTGATTGATTTGATGCCAAATGTTGTAACGCCTGAATCCTACTATTTACAATTCTATCAACATCTTCTGTAGTAATACTTTGATGAGAAAGTGCTTTTGGTTTATCTTGGTAGCTGACTGGATATAAATATCTTTACCCAGAAGTAAATTATTCCTTTCCATTTCAATCTTTTCCAATATTTCAATTAATTTATTATTTAAAGGTCTGTTTAAACCCAGTCGCTTCATTTCCAACTTGTTTTCAGGAGAAAAACCTCGTATAAATTGTATTCTCTTTTCACGATCAGATATTCGAGCCTAGCTAGCATATTTATCTATCTTTCTATAGTAATCTCTAACTGAATTGGAACCTTGAGTCAAAGTACCAAAGATCAATTCCTGTTACTCTCGAACAACTGTAGGATAATTCCTTTTAAACCAATAGATGACCTGACTAATATTGATATCAGGAAAAACTATAGGATTATTGTTATTTAAAACACCATTTGGTACATTATTTGCTGTAGCTAGATCTACAAGACATCCTCTAGCGATAGACCAGTCCTCATTTGCATGAACATTATGTGCTAGAATAACTGTAACACCAGTAGCTCCAACCAGTAATGCTGGTGATGGAGTACCATCTGATGCATTGATCATGGTGGCCATTATTTTAGCATTATTCAAGGCCAATATGGTGCCTATATTTGTTAAAGCATTCCCATATCTTACATGATTCAATCACCATTTTTTACCTATGAGTTTGTCTTCAACCCAATGTGATGTCTCACCCGTCATGCATGACCAAAATAGTTCTAAAGCTTTTTGTTTACTACCTGCATTAGCAGTAGTAATATTAGACGTCATAAGATAGAGTCTATAATCTTTTATGAATTCATCTATATCTTCATCTGCCCTACCTGAGAATTTTTTGGATGCATACCCTGCCATTCCTATATGCGGAAAATTGTTTTGTAATGCAAATATTTGTGCCTGCAAATTTAAAATATTTTGGCATTCTACTTGAACCTTATTTTTTCATTTTCCATATCGCTCATAGAGCCTGTCTCAATTATATTCTAATAAGCCTAAATCCCTTCTACAATGCTGAAGGTGATGAACATTTCGCTGATATAATAATTGTAAGGCAAATTTTTCTTGTATCAGTTCACCTATACAGGTTTGTTTCCTTGTCATCCTATCTAACATTCTATTAACCTGATTTTGGCCATTAGTTCGCAACCGATGAAGATCACTAATAACCCTTTGTTCTATCCCTTCAGTAAGTTGTCTTCGTATAATTTCATTATTATACTCAGCTTCTGCATCATAACGCTTTCTCTGCTCCCAGAATATACCCTGATTAAGGTTGCTGGACGAAATCAAGAGTTTAGACAGATGTCTAAATGGTAAAAGTAAAACTTGGTTAAATTATATTAA